AAAAAAAAAAAAAAAAAAAAAAAAAAAAAACAAACAAAAAGGTTCTGGGTGGCTATTTGTTGTACACGTCGACGAACTTGTGGACAAACACACATGTTGCAGGAGCCGCCTGCCCTCGCTAGGTTGTTAGTCCTGGTTGTGGGAGTCACTGGTCGTCGCAATGTCACTGATTCGTTTCCTGGGGACACTACACCTTGGGGTCCTCCCAGAAGGGTAGGTGTGCCCGTATTGGGTCCTCGCGCAAGACTCGTTGCAGAGGCAGCGGGTGTTGCCGAAAAAAACTGCAAGGAATTCCTTCTCGAGGCTTGTAGGGATATAAAGAAGGACAGTGCTAGTTTAGAATCAGTTGTGTGTGGAAGGTCTAGAAGTAGGGGTGATGTTATGTGTGAACTTTTCGGGCCACAGAGTAGCGGTTCGTCGGACCATGGCCGCTAGGATGGCATTTTCTCATAGTGCCCCGTCCTTTGTGCTTGCTGTGTGCTGCGGGTGTTTGTTGAACAGGGTTTCCTCGAGATAGAAGAGCAGTCCTTAAATACGTTATCTGCTCTCGGTTGCCGCTTACTATCATCGTCGTGCGTTTGCCGTCGCACAATTTGCAGGTGTCCGTCAAGGACATCGTCGCACTCGTGGATGGATCCGGGGAGCTCAACGATGAGGTCGTCAATTTCTACATGGTGATGCTACTGGACGACTGCGGTCGGACTGCTGCTACCATGAAGAAGTACACCTTTAACTCTTTCTTCGCCTCTACACTGGTTCTGCGAGGTCCGACAACTGTTAGCAGATGGGCTGAGGATGTCGACCTCCTGTCTCATGACCTCGTCTTGGCACCAGTGCACAAGGACTGCGGACACTGGAGCCTTTTGGCCATTGACTTCTCTAGACGTGTTTTGGAAATCTATGATTCTTTCTCGTGTTCGTCATCCAAAGATTCCTTCTACTCCGCACTTTAAGATAAAACTATTAAATTTTTGAACACGGTGGCAGGTGCCGCCGGTGATGGTCGCACTTTCGACCACTTCGCTCGCGAGGTCAGCGTGAAAGGTGTCCCTCGGCAGCACGACGGGGCTAGTTGTGGGGTGTTCATGTTGATGTTCGCTTCCTGTTTGGCGAGAGGTTCACGTCCACCTTCTGGTTTCTCCCATAGACATATCTCCTCTATCAGAGCTAGACTAGCTTTGGCGATTTGCGATGTTGGTAGGTAAGCGTCTATCTATTTGTTAATCATGTAGTGTAGAAGGGTTGACGTAGAAGAACATTTCGTTCTTCTCCGGACGAAATTTGTTCCTTTTCATTTTTTCCGTGAGAGACTGGTGGGTGTTCTTGGTTTGGTTTAGAGCAAAACTAACTGTCACTGTCTGTTTGGGATATCTCCGGATGAAATTGTCATGTCCCCGGCGTGTTTCTCGTCGACAATATTGTTCTTTCTCATTGGCTTTCAATTATCACGAACGTCCCCATTATTGGAGCGTCTGTTTCGTGATTGACTTTCTCGCTTTCGTCATTTTGTGTCTTGTGTGGTGTGATGTTCTCCCCGCATACTCGGATGCATCCGGACTCCAACTAACTCTATCATTTTCTGCCTCTCTCTCGAACCTTCCCCGTCGTCTACACTCATCTATGCATTTTCACTTTGAATGCTGTGAGGCATCACAGAGAAGAAAATACAACACACGGGCCTTTTTATACATTTGATGGCCCGTCTGACCCTCCGCACTGGGTGTTTTTTTATTCCGACATTGAATGTTGTCAATTCTTTGGCCCGTCAAAGCTTCCCGTCTGCACGAGCATTCATACATTCGGTTCCTATGCATTACCCAATACAATAAAAAATTTGAATGTGCCGACGGAGAGAAAACCCAAAAAGCGACGCCGATGGCTGCTCGAATGTGATGAGATTTGAATTAAGGTAGCGCGACTGAAAATACAATTCAATTTGCATGATTGGACAAAATTGGATGTGGTGACGAAAGGATAAATCACAAGGCGAAGCCAATACAAAGTGACACAAAATGAATTGAGCTGGCACTCATGAACAAATGAACATTGTATGATTGATGAACGCCTCAATTTTCGAAAAAGGATTTCAAGAATCAACTCTCTCTCTCCCTCTCTCTCTCTCTCTCTCTCTCTCTCTCTCGCACACCCACACCCACAACTGTGTCTAGTGCGCTCATTTGCTGTTTGCTTCGGACTCACTCTCCCCTGTCATCTCGGATGCATCCGAACTTGGCTTACTCTCGCCTAACGAAAACCTTGCAGCTCTTGTACAACTACACTTGTGGTTTTCGCGTGTTCCTCGAACATGCGTCTCCTGTGCGACATATCGGCACGAAAAGAAAATTCAGTGCGATTATCCACACTCTCTCTGTCTCTCTCTCTGTCTCTGTCTATGTCCCTGTCTCTATTTCTGTCTCCCTCTCCCTCTCTATCTCTCTGACGCGCCCTTTCTGTCGCGCTCTCTCTGTCTCTCTCAACTCTGTCTAGATCGTAGCAAAGCGACTCACAACCGAGATACTCCGGATGGATCCAAAACACAGAAATGTGGTGGATGATCGTACAATGTTTGTCTCTCTCTCTTTCTTTCTCTTTCTCTCTCTCTCTCTCTCTCTCTCTCTCTCTCTCTCTCTCTCTCTCTCTTTCTCTCTCTCTCTCTCAGTTTCGAAAAAAATACTGCTTGAACTGTGTCCCAAAAAACACAGGGGAAGCTTCGAACTCAAGGGTTTATACTAGTTCGACACTTCGGATATGTCCGTAACACGAAATGTTGTGGGTGATTATACGGTGCTTGTCTTTTCCATCTCTCAGCCCTCTGGTGTGCTAATTTGTCATTTATTGCGGACTTCCTCTCTCTGTCTATCTCATGTGATCTCGGATACATCCGAACTTCGCTTATCTTGAAAATTCACATTGCCTTGCTGCCCTCCTACAACAATCATCTAAAATGTTTTTAAAAGCGAGGCTGGTGATCTACGCGTGTGCTTGGCCCTGCGCCTCTTGTGCGGCGTCTCGAGAAAATTAAGTACAGTCTCTTTGAGACTCTCTGTCTCTCGCTCTTTCTGTCTCTCTCTCTCTCTCTTTCTATATCTCTCGCTCTTCAAATGTACAAGACCATTTCTTGCGGATTTCCTCTCTCTTTCTATCTCCTGTCATCTCGGATACATCCGAACTTCGCTTATCTTGGAAATTCACATTACCTTGCTGCTCTCCTACAACAATCATCTTAAATGCTTTAAAAAGTGAGGCCGATGGTCTACGCGTGTGCTCGACCCTGCGCCTCCTTTGCGGCGTCTCGAGAAAATTGAGCGAGAGAGATAGAAAGAGAGAGAGAGACAGAAAGAGCGAGAGAGAAAGAGACAGAAAGAGCGAGAGACAGAGAGTCTCAGAGAGACTGTACTAGAGAGAGAGAAAGAGAGAGAGAGACAGAAAAAGCGAGAAAGAGAGACAGAGAGTCTCAGAGAGACTGTACTTTTCAAATGTACACGATCATCGGTGCAAAACTCCAATTCATTATGGTCCTCACACTTCTAAATACAAGTCATCCTACTCCTCTAAGTCTGTGAAGAGCCACAACTGATTGTACTGTTCACAAACTTGAGTTCATGTCATTATACTGTTCTGATTCGGATGAGTGTGATGCTCAATTCCAAGTGAAACTATAACATAGTGTAATATATTACT